TATCCAAGAAATATAGACAGATGTTTTAATTTTTGGCAATAGTCTATATTTTGTATTTGTTGTGTTTTATAAAAATATTTATTGTTGAGCACATTCTGTCTCTTTGATTATTTCTATTGTTGTGTTTGCATTTGCTTTAACAATTCGTTTTAAAGTAAAATGTACGGAATTGATTTAGGGCTATCATCTCTATAAATTTACCATAAAGAAGATGGGGGACTTATCTTGAATAGTTTTTTTTTTTTTTTTTTAGTACGTTGCGTTTGTTTTGTTTTTTTTTCTTTTATAGTTTATTTGCCACTGTGGTAGATGTATCATTTTTTAATTGCTCTTCTTCGCCTACTTGAAATTACATTTTGAATTTATTCCATTCTTTCATTACTGAATAACGTTTCTTATTTCATTCATGTTCTTTGACAAATCATCATCCAATCTTCCTGGACAAATCTTCTGTATTTTTATACTTTAGGGTTAATGTTTTTCTTTATGTAACTATAAAAAAAAAAATTCTCGCTCATCGACCCAATTTAAAAAGTACACACGAGATATAGAAAATGTCACTTCAAAATATTTCCAAATAATTTTCTAATAAAATAACCTATTCAATACATCACTCATTCATTAATAAATACGTACAGAAAATTTCGTTTGAATCGGATAATTCCCTGATATTTGACAAAATTTTTAATGACGGGTGTTGTGATATTTACTTCATTTAATAAAAAAAAATACATCAATTTTTGTGCTTACAGGAAAATTACAAAATAGCAAATAGATTAACAAAAATATATTTTACTGACATATTTTTCTTTCTCTTTCTCCATTAAAAAGGCTGAATTTTTATTTTCTTACAAGGAAATGGAATTGTTTTTTTTGTTTTTTTTATAATTTCAAAACATTTATTCGTAAAAGAAAATTGTAAATAGTTGCTTTTTCAGGATAAAATTTGCAAGGGAGACAACTCCAATAATGACATTTTGAGAATAACTTCCCCTAGAAATTTATATTAAAAGGGAAGTCACTCTCAAAATATCTTAAATAACGTTACATCCCTGGAGGAACTTAAAAAAAACTGTTGGTTATCATGATATTGTCGTGTTCAATAAAATATGAAATGAAATATTTATAAAACAATCTCCCTCAATAAAATTAGGTACCTCCACTGAAGTGTCGATACCTAAGTTTTAAAATTAAATTTTAAAAATGAAAAAGCATTCTCTAACATTCATTTTAGTTATAATTAAAAGCAAAATGATTAAATTTATTATTTCCAGTAAGTAAAATATTCTAGTGTATTTCAGATAGAAATTATATAAATTAGAATGTCAAATAATTGCTCGATTCTTTTAAAAAAATTTTAAAGTGGCCATTTTAAGAAATTTGTAAAGAAGCAAATTTATCGGTTTTAAATTATAGTTTTGTGACACGTTATTTGTGTAAAATTAGAAGATTTAAAGTTAAAATAATCTGATTAATATTACTTACTTATAGCATAAAAAGCAGTATACAAGCATTTCTTAACGCTGAATCCCCCTTTTCTTTGATCTTTATTGACTTATCGAGAAGCTCCCAAAGTGATGTCTGCTCTTACGGGTGAGCAGAAATGACATAAATTTACAAAATCTAAGTGAACCCATTTTTTTTTTTTTTTAGTTTTTAACTACCTAGTAATTTTTATAAATTAACATATTTTCAGCAATTATTTAATATTTTATTTTAGTTAGGTTTCAAAAAACTTTATGAAATTTGAATTTCGATTTGTTCTTAAGTTTATTACCTAAATCAAAAAATTAATTAAGTGAAGTTTGACCCAAACTAAATTAAATATATAAAATAAAAATATTTAGTGAAATAGCAATTAAGAAACGTAAAACTTTTCTTTTTTTTTTTTTGATATTTTGAAGGGATGATTTGCAAAGACGTTAATGATGAAATAGAACTGAACTAAAAGTGAAATAATTGCAGTGCGTTAGACGAGACTTAAATCAAGTGACCTTTTTAAAGATTATGTCATGTATAGATTTCCATAGGTAGAAATTGTATTAAAATTTAAAAAAAAAAAAAATATTCGGGTACAAACGACTGTTATGATCTTTTCAAATTTTGATTCGTAAATGTACTTTTCACTTAACGATATTACCAAACTGCTATCTTGAAAATAATTAAGAATTTTAGACGATTTTTGAACTATTATTATAATTAAAATTAAAATTTTTAAAAAATGAAAAAAATTCTTGTAAAAATTCATTATTCATCGAATTTTTTTTTATTTCTTCAGACAATAGTGTCCTTAATATAACTTATTTACAAAAACAATTAAAAGCTTTTTTCTAGTTAAATAATGTCATAGATTTATTGCATTTTTTATTTTACAAAACAGAGCAGATTTTCGATGAAACAGGTAACTGTTTTACAAAAAAGATTGATGATTTACTTTCTCCAAAGAGTCCTGTTTTTAACTAATAAAAATCCCCACCACTTAAATATTTAATTTCTCGAAATTTCCTAAAATTAAATAAGTGGGTGTTAACATATGTAAAAAAAAAAAAAAAAATTACCAAGATTTTCTAAAAAGAAAAATGTCAAAAATAATTTTATTCATTCATTCATGAATAACTCCTGAAAAATTTATTAAAATCCAACAAATAAAAATCCAAACCTTTTTCTATAGTTCGCCGATGTCGTAAAAAAAAATTAAAAAAAAAAAAAATTTTTAATCAAATTTTAATACGGGCTACAAAGGAGTAAAAATTTCAAAAAATAATTAAACAAAATACTTTGGTCTTTCCTCTTAATAATAGCATAAACATTTTGATGATAAAACTCTGTTTTTATTGAGTTTGCGGCCTTTTTTCATCATGCTATGCTGATTTTTAAGTGGAGGTACCTAAATAAAATGCTTACACCAATAAAACCATAGAATACAAATCAGAAAAATTGTTTTATTATTCATCATGATTTAGGTAAATAGCGCCAAAATATTGTGAGGACGTAGAAGAAATACCATGTGACTTATCAGGGCCAATTAGGAAGAAATAACTGATTAATTCCAGGGCCGATTTTCTTAGATAACAAGTGTATAAAACTCACGAAATCTGACCTCAAATGGGATACGCACAGATGTCACCAAGGTCCACGTCATTCTCGCTGATGATCTTCACGACCTCATTCACGTCCACACTTAAAAAGCAACAGAGCTGACGAACTACCCGCTTCAGGCTAGCGTGCCACAGTTCACAGGAAGAACCAAATTCTATGTCTGATATCTACTTTACTATTAGCCACGCACACAGATGACTCTTTCACACAAACACGCATATAACAATATTTCATTGTTTCTCACATACGTACGCAAATTCAATTTATATTCTATTCCAGAACTTTATTAAACAAAACAAAAAGACAAAACATTCTAAACTATAATCAACTTGTATTCTTGTCTTTATATTAAATTGGTGTTTATTTGTTGAAACTACATGTCTTTTTCTACTGGAATTTATAATTTCAATGGATTGCTTCGTCCACCGCAAGGAAAGTTGTCTCCCTGTGCCGCTCCAGGAAATTTTTCTCCCCGGAATTGATCCTTCAGATCTACGAATCAACAATTCGCCCTTGCATGGAGTATTGCTGCCATATGGTCTGAGCCACTTCTGTTTGCCTCAGGGGTTCTTGATAGGCTCCAGAGGCGGATATGCAATATGGTTGGCCCTGCCTGGCGTCTCGTCTACAGTCACTTTCTCACAGACGCGCCGTCGCCTCTCTGTCTGTTTTACAAATACTTTCATGGCAATTGCTCCGAGGAGCTGCATTCGCTGGTTCCCAGACTTCATGAGTTCAAAAGCCCTACGAGGCTAGCATCCTTTCTCACCCCTTCACTGTCGAAACTCCTAAATGTAGCCGTCTCTTCTACTCCAATAGCTTCATGTCTCGCACCTCTCGCCTGTGGAACTCCCTTCCCTATTCCAGTTTCCCTGAGAGCTATAAACTCCAGCTATTCAAATGTAATGTCAATCGACATCTCCAGTTGCCTTGATCTATCCACTACCCTTCTCCTCATCCTTTTCCTCTATCACTCCTATCTGATCTTGCTCCAAATTTTCTGTATCCCCTTGCGTCCTAGTGGCTTCCCGCCTTGCTTGAGGTGAAACGCTTAAATAAAAAAAATCAAAAAAAATCGTGAGTTTATTCTAAACGGACGAATTACGAGAAGTCCCGTAACAATATTTGATGTTATTGTATCGACACTCGACACTCCGAATTTTGGCATTCCACAAGTAGAAGAATTCCTACAATATGTCTGACTTGCCTGTTTCGGTGCCACAATCTTATTTAGATACGCGAAACGATTCCACAAGATATTTCCAAAGAATAGAACAATAAGAAAGTGAATAAAACCGAAGGCGCACCGGGATAGCGAATAATGCTTTCCAAAATCTAAGCAAAGTATTTAGTTAAATGCCTTACGTGATAGACGCTTAGGAGGTCATGTCTCTTTCGATCCATACTGATCAAACAGAAGAATTTCCCAGAATAGGTTGTCATTTCTTTCTGCGCTAGACTGCTAACCGCTAGATTGGTAGTTTCTGCTGCTATTCAACACTAGTGAGTGTAGAATAACTAATAACGAAATAAAAATCATTATCTGAGAGACCGATCCCCCGACCCACCCACTATCTGCCTTCCATCAATATGGCTGATGCTAACCTCCAAGAAGGCGACTCGTTGCGCCTTCTTGGGGTAACGAAGTTAGCTAAGAAAGTTGGTTTCACTGTGTCTTGCTAGACATTTTTTTCTCTCTCCAGAATCTATCTTACATATCTATTCATTCATATTTAGAATATTGCTGCCACATATTGTCTGGTGCCTCTGCTATATACCTTGGGCTCCTTGATAAGATCCAAAGAAGAATCAGCAATATCTATCTATCTATAGGGATAGCTATCTATCTATCTATATATCTATCTATCTAGCTAGCTAGCTATCCCTGTTCATATCTATCTATGTCAGTCTTTTCATTATCTATCTATCTGTTTTTCTTTCTTTCTGTCTTTCTTTCGTTGTCAATACATATTCCATCAGTCTTTTCTTTCTTTTTTTTCTTTCTTTTTTTTTCTTTCTTTCTTTCTTTGTTAATTCATGTTACATCAGTATATTTTTCTCTTTCTTTCCTTCTTTCCTTCTTTCTTTCTTTCTTTCTTTCTTGTCAATTCCCTTATTCTACCAATTTTTTCTTTCTTTATTTCTTTTCTTTCTTTCTTTCTTTCTTTCTTTCTTTCTTTTTCTCATTCGTATATTCTAACAATCATTTTCATTCTTTACTTATCTATCTATCTATCTATCTATCTATCTATCTATCTATCTATGTTCATATCTATGTCAGTTTTTTCATTATCTATCTATCTATCTATCTATCTTTTTTCTTTCTTTCTGTCTTTATTTCTTTCATTGTCAATACATATTCCATCAGTCTTTTCTTTCTTTCTATCTTTCTTTCTTTCTTTCTGTCTTTGTTAATACATATTACATCAGTATATTTTTCTTTCTTTCTTTCCTTCTTTCTTTCTTTCCTTCTCTCTTTCCTTCTTTCTTGTCAATTCCCTTATTCTACCAATCTTTTTCTTTCTTTATTTCTCTTTCTTTCTTTCTTTCTTTCTCCATTCATATATTCTAACACTCATTTTCATTCTTTACTTATCTATCTATCTATCTATCTATCTATCTATCTATCTATCTATCTATCTATCTATCTATGTTCATATCTATTTATGTCAGTCTTTTCATTATCTATCTATCTAGCTAGCTAGCTATCTCAGTTTTTTCATAGGTGATCCATATTTTTTCAACTTGTACTGTTGTCTTTGTTCAAAATAGCAGAAAATGAGGAAACTGTCACATATGGCCCAGTGACTTTGAGCTTATTGACAAGATCCAAAGAAGAATCAGCAATATTATTAATCCTGGTCTGGCGGCTCGACTTCAATCCCTTTCCCACAGGCGTAAAGTTGCCCTCCCCCGCTTGTGTCTTTTCTATAAATAATTTCATGGCAATTGTACGGATGAACTTTTTACTATGATACCTAGCGTTTTTTTTTTTTTTAATTTAAGCGGAGTAATAGACTGGCGTCTAGATCTCATCAATTTACAGTTGATCAGGCTAGATGTAACCGTAAGTTCTATGCTGACAGCTTCTTTTCTCGCACTTCTAGTATGCGAACTCCCTGCCGTCTCCATTCCGACCATCTTTAATCTGCAAAAATTTAAATGCAATGTCAATCACTATCTACTCTCCTCTTGATGACTCTTTCCTCTTCCCGCTCATTATTAATGTTTCTGTTCCTAATCCTTCCACACCCTGTGACCCCTTGTGTCTTAATTGCTTTACTGCGTTGCATGGGGTAAAAAAGATTTAAAAAAAACTTCCTTTACCCACTTCCTCCAAACCCGGAAATAAACGAAAAGGAATTCGCGATCCTCTGTGAAGTTCTCATTGAACCAATGAAAACCTTGCCTTCACAGAAAATGATCGGTGAGCAGAAAAGAAAAAGGAAAGGAATTCACGAGCCTATGTGAAATTGGTTTGGGACTAATGAAAACTTTCCCTTAGCAGAAATTAGCCGGTCTGCAGACAAAAAAGTAGCGAGCCTATGCGAAAATCTTTTTTGATATAAAATGAACAAATTAAATGCAACGACAATCGCCATCTTCTATCTTCTTGAATCCCGTTCATCTTTTGTCCTTTCCTCAATCCTCAGTCTTCTCTTTCACTCCCTGTAACCCCCCAGTATACATATGACATCCCCGTCTTGTTTGGGGTGACATGATAAAAGAAAAGAGCACCGTCGTTATGTATTTATCTTTTATCTACGTTCTCACTACGAGAGTTTACACTATAAAAATGATTGTTATCTTTACATGGCATTACATTACTGTCTGCACGGACTCTCATCTCAATAAGAAATCACATTCTCTTACTAGAGGTCTTTGATCACAATGTCTGGGCGATTAGCTTTGATTGTTCTGTCAGTGTGTATTGTAAAGTCCCATCAGATTCTTACAGGTCTTAGGCGCTGTAACCAGGTCGGCAGTGATATTTATAATACAGCTGTTTCTTTTCTGGCACTGTAAAAATACATCAATCGCCATCTTCTTGAATCCCGTTCATCTTTTGTCCTTTCCTCAATCCTCCCTATTCTCAGACTTCTCTCTTGCCTTCACTCTCTGTAGCCCCCTGCAAACTAGTGGCATACCCGACTTGCTTTGGCTGTTAGGACGAATTGATTTAAAAAAATAGTTACTTGTATTTTAATAGTTTTTTTTTTTAAAGATCTTCAACGATACGTTACAATCTGCAGGTACTGCCATGTCAATAAGAAAGCACATTCTTTGATCACGATGTTTGGGCAGTTAGCTTCGATTGTTCTGTCTGTGTGTCTTGTAATATCCCATAAAATTGTTACAGGTTCCTATCTCCGTAACCGGGTTTGAGTGAGATTCATAACAACTTCTTACGGTTTCCTTCCCGTAAAAGTATCAGCATTTATTGCCTAACCTTTGTTACGCAAGAATTTTAATATGTCTTTAAAAGCGGTTTCAAGATGGCTAATTAATTCATGACATTTATCACAGAATCTGAATTTCGAGTTAACACAATCTTTTTGCCTGTTTGCTTGATACTTTCCAGTTTGCAAGCATTGGTCCTTTGCAGCAAGAATAAAACCTTCGGTTTCAGATTTTAATTCTTCACTACACAATCATTGATAGGTATGAGGTTTATATACATCAGCTTGTTTGGTACGGGCAGAGTATTGAGCACGAATCAGTTTATCTTGCTATTGTTTCTGTAATCGGTTCATTGCATTTGTTTTTGCCTTCTTTTATAAGTTCTTTGTAGCTACATGTTATAGAGTAGTTTCACAGTGGAGGCTTGTATTTGTACTAAGTCGGTCCTAAAAAGGTTCGACGTACAAAACGTTAGGGACTTGATATAATAGTTAATGACGCAACAATCTAGTTGTGGTAGTTGACTGACTCACCAACTTTCTGAGCACTTCGGTGACTGCTACTACTCCTACTTATTATAGGTGGGAGAGTCTATTAACAATAGAATAGGTATGTTCCAGTATAACACTACATTAGATGTATAATAGTTTATTTTCTCTTCATCCGGCTGAAATTCCCTTCTAGAATTTGTTGGCTTACGGAATAAAGTTCAACATCAAGCCTTCTGCATTTTCTAGGTATCTTTGAAGACCGATTGTTGTCGTTTTGTAAGACAGTTATAGTTGAACTAATCCTCCACCTCCTTTGGGTCTGGGCCACATACAGACGAACAATATTCGCCATAGGATGATGCATGCGTTGGTAAGTAAAAAGCTTCCTCGTTTTGATATCCATTCGCTTAATGTCAGCTATGGTCTAATTAAGGATGTTGAAATTGTATGGCACGACAGGGATAGGTAAAGTATTTTTGTGGTTGATATTCTGTTTTGTGAATTCAGATGGGTATTTAAATCCAAACGCACACGCCTGTCATATTCTTTTCTTACTTTTACCTTCATTTGGGCATGCAGTATTCCATCTCCTTCGTTGACTTCTAGGTATTTATAGGCTTCATCTTGTCCCAGTTCTCTAATCTTTGTGATAAAATCTAGATCCATTGAGTGTGTTTCTGTAATTCCCCCTTTCTTGAATGTTACTTTTGCACCGTTATCTAATCCTAAATCCATACCGATTTCATCACTGGAACATTTTACCGCATTGAAGAGACCGTTCAATTCATTATCGGCTTTGGCAAAAATCTGAGGTAATTCATTTAGAATAAGGAATTAAAGATTTTATTATATAATTTGTAATCATGATTTTTTTTTTACTGTTTAATTTATACAAAAGGGATGATTAGTGACCAACAAAGCAGGACAGTTGACAGGGAGTCTTCTTGAAAAAAAATTGTTGCAATTATGGTATAATGTGGTTTTTCACAGTACTATGCTATGTTTCAGGAAATTTACTATCAACGAGAAGACTTTAGTCATTTGGTTTTAATCGTTCTATATATGCATTATTTCGCTTGATGGACATTAGTAGACATATATTTAGGTCAATATCGACTCTTATTTCAGTTCCTACTGAAGTACCTTAGTAAAAATAGTATCAGTAGCAGCCCTTGATAAATATATCATCAACAGCAGTCCTGAGGGTATAACAACAAACGATCACTTAAGTAACTCTCTCTTCCTGTTTTTCCTCCTTTCCAAGTGTGTGCCATCAACTTTTCACACCGAAGCCAAATAGGACTGTGGACGCTTCACGCTTCACGCACCAACACAGCCACACTCAAATATTGAAGTAATCCAATGACTTGACTCAAAGAGTTGTGAGTTCAATATCTGGCTACAACAGAGGTGAACGAAAAACTTGGAGAATTGAGTTAAAGGATGATACCTAGTACTGAGACATCCGGAAGAAACATGGGACATGAAACAAGAACAATTACAGGCGAAATAAAGGGTTTGGTTCTAAATTCCAATCATGAAGTGGTTATCCAATGAAATAGTGTAAATAATTAAAATTGAACCACAGACAGTCCAAGAAAGTTGTGACGTTCAATATCTGGTAAATAGTGTAAAAATTACAACAGAGAACAATAGAAGATCCTGATGAAAAACTTGGAGAATTGAAAACGTTAAAGGAATGAAGATAATGACGAAAAACAATTTAGATTTTACATTCATTAAATATTATAGATATAATAAAGTAAAATATATATGTTTGATATCGTGAAATAATTTTTTTCATTTGTTTTGCAATAAGCTATATTTGGTGCTTTTTATTTGTTTTCATGCCGAAAAATTTATCATTAATTAAAAAGTATAATAATAATAATAATAATAATAATAATAATATATTATTATTATAATAATATCTTTTATTAATTAAAAACTCATAAAAAATATTATTTTGAAAAAGTCTACCTCAGTTTGAAGCTATTAAACCAAATTTTCACTTAATTTTTTTTTAATATGTTAACTATGAAGCCCAGTGGAACAATAAACCTTCTTTTACCAACTTTAAAATGTGTAAATTGATATTATTACCTCATCATGAACTGATTTTAAAAGAAACTCAACGGGTTTATGGGTAGTACATTTATTACTATTGATGATGATGATGAGGATGAGGATGATCACTATAAGTGTGATCTGTATTTTTCAGTACACCCACAACGTTACCGAAATTGACACAAGGTCAGTTTAAAGTGGATTTTGTTGTTTATGCATACTGTAAGCCAGTGCTAATCAAAATGTTTGTCCGGCGAACCATCAGATGCCGGTACGCGGCCAGTGTCCAGGCTATGCTAAGGAATCCTTTGTAAAGATTAAGATTATATAATTTTTGTTTTTGCATTAATAAATTGCTTATTTTTATTACTTTTTATATGTTTTGATATTGAATTACTTTTGCAAAATAAATGGAAGGTAAAAAATTGTCAACTTTTATTAAAGTTATTATGTATATCATTTCCCGTATAAATTAATATTACCACGAAATATTATAGGTACGCCATAGCAGATAGTTTGAGAGGCACTGCTGTAAGTAATTACAGTTTGCATAATTAGCTCCCTTTAACTCCATTATCAATTTTTATATAATTAACTCCCTTGGGGTAACGAACCTGTTGGGATTGCTATGAGTTTGAATTTTGGTATCAGAAGGTTTTTATATTAAGATGGTTTGTTTACGGGCATGTTCACCATATTAATCCACAACAATATAGAATATCGACATTCAAAAACGAAGCAATCAC